TTCACATATTTGTCAAACTGTTTTTTTTCATATCTCAGAAAAATCAACCCAAACAACAAAACTTGGAAAAGATATATAATTGATGTTTTGAAAAACATTCTTATTTTTAATATTATTTTAATGTAAAATCGTAATTACTTTAATTAATAACAAAAACTACTACATGAAAGTTTTAATGTTTAAGAAAGAATACACAAAAAATTGCTATATTGCAATAATAAATACAACGGCCAGACATTTCACTAAAAATCGCAATGAATAATATTCATTGGTATAGCAAATATATATACATATTCTAACAAACTAGAAAAATCGTAATTACTTTAATTAATAACTAAAACTACTACATGAAAGTTTTAATGTTTAAGAAAGAATACACCAAAAATTTCTATATTGCAATAATAAATACAACGGCCAGACATTCCACTGAAAATCGCAACGAATAATATTCATTGGTATAGCGAATAAATATAAATATTCTAACAAACTAGAAAAGTAGATCAATAATAACTAATATTTAGTTAAATAAATATAGATACACGAACAAAACATTCTAGATCTCCTAAAAATCAGCCTCAATATTCTCATACCATTATTTTTCACGAATTTGCTTCTTTCACATATCTGTCAAACTGTTTTCTTTCAAATCTCCAAAAATCAACCCAGACAACAAAACTTTGAAACGATATATAATTGATGTTTTGAAAAACATCCTTATTTCTAATATAATTTTAATGTAAAATTGTAATTACTTTAATTAATAACAAAAACTACTACATGAAAGTTTTAATGTTTAAGAAAGAATACACAAAAAATTGCTATTGCAATAATAAATACAACGGCCAGACATTCCACTAAAAATCGCAATGAATAATATTCATTGGTATAGCAAATATATATACATATTCTAACAAACTAGAAAAATAGATCAATTCATTTAGCCACTTCGTTATTTAAGAAAAATAAAATCTTATCTTTAGAAATTGCACCTTATATTTATTGAATTGAATTTTTATCCCACAAAAAACGTTATTTATGTGTTTGTTTGATTATTTTTTCCAATTTTGGTCACAAGGCCAATAAAGTTAACGATATAAAATTATAAAAAATATAAAATTATGAAAGAACAATATAAAGTACAAAAATATAAAATTTACTAAATATTATACAAAATATAATTAACTTGTCATACTTACTAATAAATATGAAAAGAAATAATAAATAAAAATGATATAATTAATAAAAATAAATATAAAACTTTTAAAATTTTACTTATCGATGCAAACGAACTGAATTGTTCAATGCTTGTTAATTTTTTGTGCTTATTAGTTCTATGTGTAAGTTTTAGGTAATAGACAATAGTTATTTGTGCTTTTATCCATGTAGGTTAAAACTTTTATTTTCTAGAAAAAAAAATAATTATTTTAATTTTAAATAACCTGATTTTCTTTTTTAATATAATATTAAATATCATATTACATATATAAAATAATTATTATTTATATTATTTAATATTTAATATGTAAGAAATTTAACTCAATTGAGAAATTAATAGGTAATTTTGAGGTAATAATGAGTGATTTTAAAAAAATATATGGACTAAAAAGTTCATGTGTTAAATATATTTTTAATAGAAAAATTGGAACGAATATTTCATTGGTGTAGTGTTCATTGAAAAAATTCGTTGTCTATTAGAGATCAAATTAAATTACATTGAAATTTTTGTTGATTTAATGATTACCATTATCATTATTTATTATTGTATGAATTTCAGTTAGAATTTGTTTTCAGACCATATTTCAACGGTCAAAAAAACTGCCAATGGAATTTTAAAAAATTCAATATAAGTTTATGAAAGCTAATTGCAGGGGAGGATACAAAATAATTTCTTATTGGAGGCACTATTTAGTTAATAGAAAAAGTAAACCATCAAAATAATATAATGCACTACAATTTATAAATTATTCTTTTCATAATTTGTCATCTTTCTCATCTGTAATACATTTTTAACACATATAAGTTAGAAAATATTAAAAAAAAACAATGATTTTTTTAATTATTGTTTGAAATATTTCTCATCTTTTAAGAATTTTTTATGAACAAAACTTGAAATCGGTATTGTTTGTTCTCATAATGGCCACGAAGTATAGAAATATTATTTTTTAAATTAATCTATAAAAATATTAATTTTTACCAAGAAATTATATCGATATATTACCAGTATCCATCTATCCAATCTGTATTATTATAATAAAGTATTTTTTTTCCTTACAAAAATGTACGAAATTAATATATAATAAGACATATATAAAATTTCATAAATAATATTAAAAGTGTTAATAATTGATTAAAATAAATATAAAACTTTTGAAACATGTATTTATCAATATAAACGAGTTGAGTTGTAAACATTTGTTAATTTTTTGTGATTATCAATTCTATGTGTAATGGTTAGGTGACAGACAATAGTTATTTGTACTTTTATCCATTTAGGTTAGAACTTTTCAAATTTAGAAAAAAAAAATAAAAAAACTTGATTGAATAAACAGTATAAAAGTACAATTTTATCAAAAATATATTATTATAAATAAATAAATAAATAATATTAAATAATATTTTATCTTATTTGATTATAGTTGTAGCCAAATAAATAAGATACTTTGATAACAACATTTATATAAAATGTGTAAACAAATTAAACAATACATATAAATATGCCCTAATTCTTTTAACAAATAAAATATTATTTATGAATATAATAAGAAACAAATAAAACAATATTAAGGCAATGAGAAAAAACAAATCTGATTTTTTTATTTTAGAGAAATATGAATATCAACATCTAGAAACAAAAGTCTTTTATAATTACTACATTTTTATTACTGGCATTTAAATTCTCATAAATATTGGTCTTATATTATCAATTTTGATTTTTTAAATAATTAAAAAAATAAAAAACTTTGTAATACATAATATATATTTGAATAATGATTTTGTGATAACAAATTTCACAGATGGCGAAGAGTATTATAATATAATAGAATTTTGATTTTTCTCCTCTCTAATATTTTAACAAATGATATGTTTCTCAATATTATGTCATTGTTTTTTTTTTTCATTGTTAAGGAATCAAGAAAAGATATTTATTATAAATCATTGTTAAGGAATCAAGAAAAGATATTTATTATAAATTTTTGAAGCATTATGATTGATGCAAAAATTTGGACAATAAAAGCGTCTGAAATCATTGGATGAACCTAGCTGCTCAATGATTTGCAAACAACATATTATATTAGTTCGTCTATCTTCAAAATAAATAAAATTGAAAATGAAATGTCGGAGCATGATCAAAATACTTTTGAGTTTTTGAATGAAGTTATCATATTTTGATAGAAATATCTACAATTTCATTGGTGTATTGTGCTCGAACATATATGCAAGTACTCTAGAGTATATACTTTCATGTAATGTATGATGATTTCAAAAAATAATTTAGTCTTCATGTAATGTGTGATGATTTTAAAAAATAATTTAGCGTCTCGAGAGAAGTATATGTAACCAAGATTTTGAAAGGTCAACTTTTATTTAGAAATAAAACTCATTCTCACCCCCGTGGGGCGATGCCTCTATGGAGGTGTCAATTTGTCTATATGAAGAGAGAATAATGTTGTAGTTTAAAAACAAATATATATCAACAATTTTAATGACATAATTAATTATTTCACAGAGATATTCATTAACTGTTATTAGCAATACTTTATAAAGATCATATCATAGAGTTTGACTATATGTTTGGACAAAATATTTTGTATTGTTTGAATAAAGTAGACTTTTTGCCTAATGACTTAAGAAGAAATTGCCTATTGATGTATAGGACTCGAATGGGTATGAATGTTTTTTTATGAGAACGACAGAACTAAAATGAAAGAAATCACTCTTGAGTCATCAAATATAAATAAATAAAAGAACTAATGCATTTATAATATACATTATGTCTTTATTTAGTTATTTAGTGTCTTTTTTTAAAAAAAAGAGTCATTTTTCATGTATTTTTGTTGGGGTTGTAACATGTTATTTTTTTTTAATCGGCAAAAAACATTCGCCACCACGTGCGATGCACGTGCACTTTACTAGTTATTTCAAAAAATATGTGTAGAGTTAAAACAAATGCGACACATTCGGTCGACATCACCACATGAATATTATGGTACATTATATGGTTTAGATTGTATTAGCTATCAGCAACCAATTTGCAAATGTTTACAAGAATACCCCACAGAATTTTTCAGTTAAATCTTATTCTCTCTTCAGTTTGTTTAAGTGGACCCAAAAATCAAATCGGATGTATACAGTAACATTCTTATTCTGTGTGTCTGTTTTGTTTTTTAAATTAATAAGGGAATTCAAGCAGAAACTACTGAAATTTGAGCCTTAATCAGCTGCATATCCGTATTTTTTGGCTTCTGGAATGTTTTTGGTACTCGACTTGTGATCGCATGATTGAATTTTGAATTTTTGCATGTTTTGTGAAATTGAATTAACATTTCTTGCACTCTCAACGGGCCCAATTTCTGATGAGCCCCATTGAGGGTGAAGTTTGGTGTATACAGATGAAGATCAACCCAAAGTTGCTTGTTGCCAGCCTTTTTCACCCAACTTGTTTTACATCAATAAATTTTAATCAATTTTTATAAATTATTATTATATTTTAATTTGTAAAATGTTGAATTGGCATCATCTGACAAATCTTAGTACAAGATTTTCTTGTTAGACACGCAAGATAAAGAGTATTTTATCCAAAATGGGACCAAAAGTATTTTCTTATTATTATATTTTAATTTGTAAAATATTGAATTTGCATCATTTGACAAATCTAAGTATTTTCTTCCGCAAGATTTTCTTATAAGTATTTTAATTTCTAATATTTATTTTTGATTCAATAATCCAAATGGGACCAAAAGTAGTGAGGCAGACCCTTGTGGGACTAATTTAAAAACTTTCCCCAATCAGAATTCTCCAAATATCCAATACGAACAGTATCAATCAAACTGTCCTGATTTTTCTATAGGTTTTGGGCATTGGTTTTGTATTATCTCAGATTTCAGTTTAGTTATAAACCAAACCATCCTATGCTCACCCTTACACAATTTTCAAGCATACATTAAATCGTTAACAATTTCTAAAATGACAAAGAAATAACCTGTTTGAGATCAGTCACCCGTTTTGTTTTTATTTTAGTTAACTCACCCCAAGATACATATGAACAGCATTGTACAGAGAAAAGCCATCTCTACAACATGAGACCTGTGTTGTTTTCAGACATCAATATGTTTTCCCTTTTTCTATTCTATTTCATTGATCATGTACAGTTTCTGGCCATCCATAATCATATCCGCCTCCAGAATTTTCCCTCCGTCTTCTGATAATATAATCGACCCGTCTGGAAACTCCAGCTGTCTCGAGGCTTGCTGTATAAGCTCTTCAATGGTGCGTGGGACCCACATTACTACCCCGTGTTTTCTTCTTCCTTCCTTGGGATGCCAGGGATGAAAAGGGAAAACAGTGCACTTTTTCGTATGCGACTTATCTGCTAATAGCAGGTAAGTTAATAGACAACAAGAAATATATTCCCAGTTCGAACTGACATATGTCATTGAAATTTAACAACATGCATGTAAAAACTCCATATTTTTAAGTATAGTTTTGGAAATTGATTGCCTCACTACAATTACATGTAGATAAATGAGAAAAAAATAACGGTTTTCCCGAAGAAAAAAACGTCATAACGGAAGTTTTAAGGTACCTTTAACTTCTTGAGGTGAATCTGGAAATGTGGATAATTGTGCAACCTTAGCATCTTCAAGAAGTTGAATCATATTTTTATTTCCGCAAATTCTCCCTTCGTCAACTGGAGTGTTTCCCCATCTGAAAGAATCAATTCACCACGAATAATGCTTTTACTGAACTGTAACTAATACAGCTTGTAAAAAAACACTAACACAGCTTTTGTTGAAATCTAAAGCAAAATGAAAGCAAGGAAAAAAAAAAAAAGAGGATTTTGACCTGTCTTTTATAAAGACGCTGGCCCCAGCTTCAATGAGCAACTTTGCCATTAAATACAATCCTTGAGAGGCAGCTATGTGAAGTGGGGTCCGCCGGTCATAGTCTCGGGAGTTTGGGTCAACCCCATTGGTCAAAAGCCTTCTAAGAAAATCCGAATCGCCTCTTTCGACTGTGGTGCACAAAAAGCTACCGGCATTGTCGATTTTCAGTAATGCTCCTTCTTTGTAAAGTATAGAAGCAACATTGTCATGTCCGCTCTTGATGGCTTCGAGTAAAGGCGTGTTACCAAAATTATCTGTTCGGAACATATAATCACGGCTGTAAAGTTTCCGTTTTTAATTTTTCAAATTTATGAAATAACAGTTTATTTTGGAGATTTAGTTAGTTTACCTTCAGCATTGATGTCTACACCTTCTTGTATGAGGAATAAGGTAATATCTTCGTATCCTTTTGATGCCGCGAGATGCTATTGAAAAAAGGAAAAACAAATAAATATCATATATACATATATATATAAACAACAGGAAGCCAAAAACTTCAACTGCTAATTTTCTTCAAGCAAACCTTATCTTGGATTTTGTATGGAAACAGAAGCATTAAAATTTCGCAAAATATTGTGAGAAACAGGGAGGATGATATTCAGAAAGCCCAAAAATATATATAAGCAAATAAATACTAAATTTCGACAGTGAATTAAAAAATGGCACACGAAAGAGGTCTAAAAACTCAAATACATACCAAGGCCAATCTTCCATCATAATCTTTCTTATTTGGATCGGCTCCAGATCGAATCAGACTTTTCAGTTGATACAAATCACCGTAATATGCTGCACTGTTCACTCTCAAAGCAAGCTCAGCTTCTTGTTTACCAATATGGAAAGTAATATCTGTCTCCAGTTGCTTCACACGAATACTAGACTCTTTCTCCTGGCATTAATTCATTACATTTTCAAATATGTGAAACAATAAAAAGTTTTTTTTTTTTTTTTTTTTATTTACCTCCAACAAGTTAGTCAAGACTTTACGTCCATCATGAAAATATATCTCGAGTATATTTGAGAAAGACTGTTTGTCTATCCTGAGAAGCCGACATAATTCGGACACTCGAACGGTGTATGGTTGAGGTATGTTGCAGAGGATTGAAATCTCTCCGAATAAGCTGTGACGCTCGAGAAGAGAAACAGTTTCTTCTGATCCATCTGCACCTATTACAACCTCCTCCTGCAAATTAAATATGACTTGTTAATTCATCATTTAAACTTAAATAGGTTTGATGCAAAACCGAGGACAAAACACGAAGCACGACAATAACAACAAAATCTAAGAATGATACACTAATATATAAAAGAGAAAAGAAAAAAAAGAACAGGATGCATGTAAGTTAATCAGAATATACAAGTTCAATTATTACCAGAACACCATCACAAACAAAATAGAGTTGATCCACAGCATTTCCTTGTTCAATTATTACTTCTCCAGGGAGGAAAAATTCTTCATGCACCCGAGTTACCTGACACATAAATGACGAATGATAATTTAGAATAAATATATATATATATATAGGATGTGGTTCAAATGAGAACTAAGTTTTATTCTCTCTCTCTCTCTCTCTCTCTATATATATATATATATATATATATATATGAGCTATCATAAACACTTGATTGTTGACTAAGAAGGTGCTTGGCCGATCTAATCAAAAGATTTAAGTTAATTAATCCAAATTTGTTTGAACAGTGATATTTTACTCTGAATATTTAAATTTCAACAATGGTGCCACTAACATGTTATAAGCTTTTTTCTGTTATTTCATCCCTACATTTCCACACCATATTGTCAAAATAAGATCCTTTGCATTATTAAGTTCTAGAAACATGTAAAAAGATATTGCAGCTTATAACATCTTCTGAATAAACTTACGCGATTCTTAAAATTAACTCAAGGGACAATCTTACATCCTCAGCTCTTCCCATATTAAATCAAAATACTCTAAAGCTCAACAAAACCAACTTACAATTTGGCTGATGAACTCTGACGAGCAATCCTTGAAAAGAGCAACATTCTCAACGTACGACTTGTACAGTGTCTGGGATATCTGCAAGATTTTAATTAACTTTGTCATAAGATGCTCATAAATTATCTAACTCAAAAGGTGTACAATTAAAATAACACAAAAAATATCCTCAGTTTTCTTTTAACAGTTGTTTTGAGCTATCCTACCTTAGCACGTATAGATATCGGGATATCATTAAGAACAGCAGCATCTGTGTAACTGCTCTCATATTGCAAACGCAAGTGCCCTTTAATCTGATTACGAAGGTCCCTTCCTAATCTGTTTCTGTTCATATATTTGATGAGATCAGTCATTCTATCTCTATATCTCTCTGTTTTCGACCCCTTCACGATAAGTGCTGTCATGTTACCGATCAAATATGCACCAAGAATCATGTCAAACGAGACATATATCATGATAAATATCATCTCCCTCAGATTCACTGCATGTATATCTCCATAACCTGTAACAGAGGACAAAATATCCACTTACATACTATTTAAGCTCCAGAATTTAAATGTAAGGGAAAAAAAAGAAATACACAAATGAATTTTGAATTTTTTTTTTTTTTTTTTTT